TTTTATCTCCAGCACGCCATCACCATAGCAAGTGCATGTTACCATGCCGTCAGGTGATGCTCCAATCCAGGGGAGGTCTGGGTGGATGATGAACCCTGATGCATGAACCTGGAGGTATATACAGTATAATGATAAACTGTGTACAGATATTGATAGGATGTAGATATTGGGCTGGGCAATAAAACAATAATGATAATTATCACACACTTTTTCTCAATAACAATATAACAAATGTGTTCAATAAATGTTTGATTTAATTCATTTGAATCACAAAGAAATTAGCACTTATACTTACTTTGCATTAATATTTTTTAGAAAAGGAACTAAAAAAGATTTTACTTAATTTTACTAAAACACATTTGTTGAAAAAAGATTGTATCATAATAATTTTGAATGTTCTGCCTCAGATTTGTGAAGTGATCCACGGTTTGTCATCAAGTGTTTGTCACATTCTGACCATAAAAATATAGTTTAGAACCACAATTAACCACCTGGTTTCGTCAACTTTCACTCTGGAGCAAAAATCTGCCTTTAAGCTTGAAAGAAATAATAATTTGACATGACATGACACATTATCATGAGAATAATCAATATTGAATTAAATGAAATGTGATAACATTTTTGTCTATATCGGCCAGCCCTATGAACATATCATTCATCTCTTAGTTGTTGAAGGACCTGGAAGTCTTCGTGGTGATCTTGCGTCATAGCGACATAGTTTGCGCTTGCTCTTCCCTCATTCACTTGACCCCATCTGACAAAAATTGAAATATAAACTGTTTATTACATTGTATTGTATTTGTCTGAATGACATTTAATGCCTATCAACATTTACCTAAATGTGTTGCACTCTGACCACTCATAAATGCCTTTGCTTATAATTTGCTTGTAATCTGATTCTTCTCATTGACTTGAATAGCTAACCTGGTTACATCATGGCTACACAAATCCAACCTTCATGTTTAATTGTGCTTTACTCTACGCACCTTGTTGCCTCAGTGGAAAACTGAGAAGAGAGCGGATAGCAGATCCTTTTGATCAAGGATACGGGTTTGTTTGCTTTGGCTGCCTCGCAGAATACCGACGCTGTGACTCTTCCTGCCCTCTGATCAAACCATACCCTACTTTTACTCTGCTCCCTGGTCTCCTCCTCAACTACCAAACACTGGAAAAGTTAGTTTGTTCATTAGTTAGTTGACTTGTCATGAATTTCAACTTCACAGGCAGAAATAATTTTACTATTGATTACTTTGATTTTCAACTGAAGAGATTGACAAATGGAAATATTAACACCAACCTGTTTTTATAATATTTACCTGTTGCTGTATCAGATGTAGGTTATCAAAGACCTTGGAAGTCTCAACCAGTAGTGTGGGCAGGTCTACCTGCTTGAATATAAGGTTGACAAAGGAGTGGGCAAGTCCAGCTGCATCACCTTTGGCGTGTACCTACAGTGGTGGAAGATGTGCCCAGACATTTGACTTAAGCAAAAATATGCTGTGACGTGAAACTTCTGCAGTAAAATGTATACTTAAACCAAGGAATAAAAAGTATAAGCCTCAATATACTTCATTAAAGTATACATCATGTTATTGGATGTATTTAGTTACATTTCACCACTGTGTACCTGTGGGAGTGGCCCTCAATGACAGAAAGGATGGCACTTTTCTTTGGCTTAGACTCTTGCTTCCCACTCTGATGAAGCATCTCAAAAAACATCCTGCACTCTTCATCTGATGGTCTAATATCAGGAAAACCAGGGCCTTGAACATGACGGGGCTCTCGGTTATGACAGAAATTGATGTTTTGGATCTCTGCATATTGGACATCTCTGACAGACGCCGTACTTGGCTGTGCCCATGCACAGGGCTTCTGGGTGCAAGCCTGCCCATCCCTGATATCAACAGCAGCCAACACACAATACAGCAGAGCTGATGCATGTGAGCATACCTCTCCTAAACCTGCCTTACAGGTACAATGAGCCATTAAAACAGTCCCATCATCCTGTACTGTGATCCAGGGGTGTGTTGGGGTTACACTGAGGCTTTGTGAATGCTTCACCTGCAAATTTTAACCAGAAGTTAACAAACTACATGTTAGCTAGCTAGATTAAAACATGTAGTTTAAAATGGGGACATGATGTTATTCTAGACTAATAACTAATATTAACTAATGTTAATATCGCTTGAATAAAACACTGCCACTTACCCTTCCTGTGATCAGGAACATTTTCTTCAACTCCAGATGGTGAATTTTGGGATCATTAACCCATCCTGAGGTGAAGTAGCAGTAGGCTTCGGTGCTTTTAAACGCCTTGAGGGCTTCCCCGGTGTATGGAGATGGATTGTGGACGAGGTAAATGTAAATATCAGCAAACGTCAAATTTGGCAGGTTTTTGCTAGACTTTAGTGGAGTCAGCAGTTCACTGGACAGTCGATATGGATCGAAACCTAACGTATCAACCTTCTTCAAATACCGTTGCTTTTCGTCGGTGGTGAGGTGTGCTATTTTCGTGTGCGACATCATTCATTCTAACAAAGGAGGGGCTGCACAGCGGTCCTAAAGATGGCGGCCACAACAAAAAAGTCACGTGATTGATCAGCCTATCAGCTTTAAAGGCCGTCCCTCAGACATCCCGTTATGCAAAGCGGTGACTGGAGCTTTGATAAAAATTACAGAAAAACCTCCTATTTGTATGAAATACATAAGATGCTTTGTAATTTATGTTTTCTTAAATGTTTCTGCTAATTGTCATTCCTATGACAGTTTACTATTGAAACCATGAGTGAAGGGCCAATTTAATATTACTGCATATAACTTTTATGGTTGGTTGTTCAGTTGGTTTGTTAAAGTGCAGTTGTTACATTGCTAGCAAATGTGTGCTGTGGATAAACTGTCAAAAACTCAGATAAGTCTATTTGGTTAGAGGTGTTTTGTTGATACAGAATTGTTATTGCAGTACTGCAGCCCTTATGGCGGACGATGTTGAAAGAAATACCCTAGCAAACAGCACTGGTCACATCAAACTCTCCGAAACTTTGATCAGCTAATAGAGCTTAAGTTGTGCTTAAGGTGTGCTAGCCTCTTTGTGGCTAACGTGTCCCTCTTACTGAAAGTCAGTAAGGACTCCACATTTTGTTAACATATTGTTGTTATATTGTTAATTGGTAAAGTGCATTAATTTTAATTCAGTTATTGACTGGACTTAAATAACTCATCATTTTAGCAGGTTATCTGCTCATGTTCAAACTTTCTGCACATTCAGAATCTCTCCCACATATCTGTGTTCTCCTTCTGTAAAGAAAAAAGTCGTAATATTATGTGACAAACGTCAGCATTTAATGAGAATTTGGCTTCACTCGTAGTCCCCTGGACCATCTGACAGACACTGAATTGGATGAGACGAGGAGGTGCTCATGCCTTGGGAAAATGAAACTAACTGACAGCACCTGTGATCAGGCAGAATTCTCACCACAAATCCACACACGTTAACTTCAGCAGCTGTAATAATGTCGGAAAAGGCAAGGGCTATTTATGCAAATCATATTCTGCTATTATACTAAAAAGATTCAATGCTTTTTTCATTTCCATGACATTAAGGGCTTATGTATACAAAATACTAACTAACTGCGAAATACACAACACTTAGGATTCACTTTCAAAAACTTTGATTTGTGAATATAAAATTTCCCAAGAATTACAAGGCTATTAATCAGAAAGTGTTATCCATGACAGAACCATAGATGGTGTTTTTCAGAGAAAAATTCTCGAGATGAAAAACCTTTGGATAAAGTCAGTCATGTATATCAAGTCATAACGCTTTCAGGAAAAATAAATGATCTGATTTCATGTCACAAAATACACAATTATTGGTTTCCATTCACTGGATAGATCCACTACACAAAATTTTAAAATGGATTTCTTTTGCTTTGGGAAATTTTAAATATTTAGTTCATAACAAGTGATTAGTACATTTTAAATAGAATTGTGAAAGGGAGTTTCTGCAGAAAGGGCGGCTGTGGCTCAGGAGGTAGAGCAGGCTGCCCGTTAATCGGAAGGTCGGCGGTTCAGTCTCCTGTTTGAGCACTTTCCCTAAACATGTAATAGAGTTGAGCATGGCATTAGTTATGGATTTGAATAGATTACAATTTCCAGTTAGGTCATGTCTTATGCAGATGATCTCAAATGACAGGACACAGCCGCTACTGTCTACTGAATGAATAACCGATCCAGTCCTTGTTGTACAGTGATTTATAAATTTTTTTATTGTATTATTTATTTATTTAATCTTTTTTAGAAAAAATGTTTTTGATTGACCATTGATTCAGTATTTAGAAAGTCAATCTTTTAAAGCTTTTGTCAATAAAAAAGAGTTGTTTTAAATTAATAACCTGTGGCTCAGTAACGTAAACAGCTAGCTTATAACCTTAACGTTACCTGCCCATCACAACATGACAACCCAGAGTTGAGACCGGGTGGCAGAGTCGCAGTCTAACACACTTATCTGCCCTTCTATTTCAGTAGTTACCCACCCAACACCCTACGCAGAGTCGCAGTCTAACACACTTCTCCGCTCCTCCATGCCAGGAGTTACTTAGTGAAAACCCTATAGTGACAGTGTCTGTCCCCCGACCATTGAAATTATTTAAATCAAAGGTAAACAGAAGAGGAGCTGTGCATGAAAACCTCATAAAAATTAAAACCACAAGAGCAATAATGCAAACAAATAGGAAAATTAAATGTGGACTCTTAAACATCAGATCTCTCTCTTCTAAAGGTGTACTAGTAAATGAACTAATATCAGATTATGATATTGATTTATTTTGTCTTACTGAAACCTGGCTGGGGGATGGAGAATATGTTAGCCTAAATGAATCCACCCCTCCCAGTCATATTAATACTCACATTCCTCGAGGCACAGGCCGAGGAGGTGGAGTTGCAGCTATCTTCGACTCTAGCCTACTAATCACCTCTAAACCTAAACTAAATTATAACTCATTTGAAAGCCTTGTTCTAAGTCTTGCTTCGGCGCGTTATACACACACGATTAGTGTGTCTCTAACTATAGAGCACCTGGTGTTTACTCACAGAACGCTTGTCTGCCTGTCTGTTCACATGTGAAGCGCAAAGCGACCACACAGGGCAAAGCGACTACGCAGGCGGAGTGTCGCTTCCTGTGTGAAAAGACCTTTAAGAACTGTACACCTTTTAATGTGCCTGATTTGTTTGTGTCAAACCCTGAGGCTATGGAAACACATTAAAGCAGAAATGCAATTTGAAAATGCTGGAATAATAATTAAATGAATACAGAAATATTTAGAATGATTGGAATCTTGCTAAATTTGGGTGGAAATTTTAGTTGGCTTTGAATACTGGACACTGCGCTTATCGAATGTGAAGTGTGGAAAAGATGTGACAATGTGTGGTCGAGTTATACAGTTACTTATGTCGAAACATTTAATCTATTAGCACGATTACTTATTTTGGAACATCGAAAGTCTCCATTTGGCCACAAAACCTCAAAAGCTTTGCAAATTACCACAGCAGGGTCTTTAAATAAATGGTGAAGGATTTCATATTCAATTCAAAATGGCTGACTTCCTGTTGGGTTTGGGTGTGACTGGTTACTACACATGTAGGAAAACACTGGATGAAGGTTTGTGGGTTGGTCGGCTCAGGTTGAAGCATACTGAATGAAAGTGTTGCGAGTTAGGAATCAGGGGAAAGAGTTTTCTGTCACAGGTTTACTGTTGGGAGAAATGGAATCCTACAGTAAGTCAACACCAGTTTTCTGTGTGTGAGAGTATATTTAGTACCTGGTCCTGGCTGCCCTCACACAGGTTGTAGGTGAGGTTGTTGCGGATGCCTGAGACGAAAACACTGGCATACTCGGGGCAGAGTCCCAGCACCTCTTTCAGGTGACGCAGATTGATATACTGAAGGTGAGTGTGTGTCAGCACTTTCACATCAGCATTGGTCTTGATCACCTGGTCTGGTCCAGGCAGGTCAGCCCCAAACAGGTTCCCTTCTCCTAAAATCAAAACAATAACACAATTTCTTTCTCCATGGTGTACCACATAAACACCTTAAACATGAGGTTAAAAAAAAGTCACTTGACCACAAGACAAACCTAATGTTGCCAGCACCGTGGTGTCGTTCAGCACCTCCAGAGACCCGGAGCAGACATAGTAGTTGGCATGCAGCACGTCGCCCTGACGGATGAGGTACTCCCCGGGGATGCAGAAGGAGGATTTTATATGGAGGGAGAGTGAGCGCTGGCAGCCACGACTGGCCCCCGCAAAGACCGGCAGCTGGAGGATGTCCCTATTCCGATGCATGGCGATGTCGGCCCGCAGCTCATCAGGGAAGTCGTGCAGGAGCTGGGGATGTGTGACAGATGTAATGAGCTGTGACATTGATTGATAATTAAGGAATGGACTCCAGTTACCCTTTTTAAATTTCAATAGGATGTCAACTGGCCACGTGCTGTGAAAGATCATTGACAGTTACAGCAGCATATATTGATCATGGACTGTACAACGGCTGTCAGTGCTCAAATGTAATCATCATGTGTCATCTAAACATTGCCCTGAAGTTTCTTTAGGGCAGACAGCACAATGTACAAAAGCATGACATGTCAACAACAATGAAAGGGATTCCTACCTCATTGACATCTATGCCACTGTTGACAGACCATGTGTTCTGGAAGTACTCCAGCATGCGATTTTCGAGCTGCTCAGGCAGATGGTGGAGACGGATGAAGTCCTTCAGGTCCTCCATGCTTGTGTCGTAGAGAGAACGGCGTGAGTACATACGCTGGATGACGGTGGTCACGTTACTGAACACCAGGGTGTTCATCAGCGCTGTGTGAGAGAAGGAAACAAACAGCATAAAAGACAATAAATGTTGCTATAAAGGCTGAATATTTATATTTCTAGATAAAGTTTTATTCTGAATGCTGTTTATTTTAGGCCACTGGTTCCCAAACGTTTTCAGCTCAAGACCCAAAAGAGAAATCTGGTGTCTCCCTGGGACCAAAATTTACAAAAGTACTGCTGTATGAATTGCTGTAACAGCTACGTTTATAAACAACGGGTAAAGGAAAAACCATGAATTAAAAATGCATATAAAATGTATTTATTTCATCATAAAAGTAAAGAAAAACAACAGTTTTCCTTTCTGTGTCTCACCCCTTTCTCAACTCCCATCATCCCTCAGCACCGACATGTCTTTTTAAATGATGCCGACCTGAAAGTAAGTGGCCGGTTGAAGTTTTCAGCCAGCTGGTCTATACTCTGGGCTCGGTTTTCCAAAGTGTTGTTCTGAGGTCATGCCGAGCATTTAGTTTGTTCCTGTATTTGTTTGTCAAGGGATGCTGAAGTCAAAATGCCAGATTCACATAAGTATGTGTTGCCTAATTGAATCAACACATCTTGAAGGGCAGGGAAAAATGTCTGAACTTTCCCCAATACTGCAAATGTTTCGTTTGGAACATTTGCCTGTGCAATTTATTTGTTTTAAAACTTTCATTACTGAGCACTTCCCCACATTTTACACACTGAGGCATCTCCTCTCCCTTCTGAATGGCTTTGGTAAAGCCAACTTTAATAAACTCGTCCTTGTACTTTTGTTTGGACATCATAGGATCGACAGTGACAGATTACAGACTACGCACATAGAGATTCTGTATGAATGTGGACAGCAGATCAGGTTAGGGAGAGGTGAGAGAGAAAACCTCACTCAGCATCTGAGCTGAACAGACCAGAGCAGCAAAGAAGAATGCTTATTCACATACCTGTATTTACATGTTGCAACATTGTTATGCATTTTACTCATTTTGGGTCCTAACCCTAAGTTTGGGAAACATGTTTTTAGGTTATTACAGTTTATACTGGCAACGAGAGAAAAATGACTTTTCTTTACTTTCAAACTCTTTCTGCTTTAAAATAAAATATAGTTTTATATTGATCACTACCCAATTATCTAGACATGTTACTGTTTACTTACTTAATGATCCACACAGGGGCCACAGTAATTTACATCTTTGTTCTGACATGAATAAAAATGAACACAGTAATTATCCTCTGTGTTGTTGCACTAATAATTGCCTCCTCAGCTAAAATACTTTAGTTTATTGCTATGTAAAGCCGGCAACAAACTGAATCTTAAAGACCATCCAACCCACTTCCTGCTGAATTTCCTGCACTGGCGTGCTGAACAGAGGCCCTGTTACGCCAGAGGGACAGTGTACCCTGGTGTCAGACATACCGCCAACAAGCATGGTGCAGATGCAGAAGATCTTCTCAGCAGGGGTGTTGGCACTGATATTGCCAAAGCCCAAACTGGTCAGGCTGCTGAGGCAAAAATGAAGGGCAGCGACGTAGGAGCTGTACATCGACGGGCCCCCCGCCGTGCTGTTGAAGAAGGGCATATCCCGCTGTTTGCTCAGTTGAAAGAGCCACCCTTGAAGGAGGAGGTAAAGGATGAGACAATAATGGTTCTGTTTGTTTGTGTGTGTCAGAAAGAGATTTTCAGCTGTGTCAGGAGTGTTAATTATTATGAAGTTATGATCTAACCTCCCTATAGACACATATAATATACTGACACAAAAGTATACAATCACACACACACAACACACACGTTGCATAGGCGACTGGACCAGAAATGGGCTGCACCAGCTGTGTGTAAGTTCTCTCCTAAGTTAGGACATGAAGTTGACACTAGATGCTTAGTAACTGCTAATTAGTTTGTAACTTGGAGCAGAAAAATGGCTGTTTACCATTAGTGAGTTTAATTCTGTGACATTTTATGGTTTACTCCTACGTTGGGGCCTGTGTAACTATTTAGTTGCTACATAGAATTATGTTGTAACTTATCTCTGTGGTGCAACCACTTTTCTTCTAGTAATGCTTACATACCATTGACCATCAGATCCTATTGCAGAGACTGGAATATTTCATTGGCATTAAAGGAACCGCTCTAAGCTGGTTTAAGTCCTATTTATCAGATCGATTTCAGTTTGTACATGTTAACGATGAGTCCTCCATGCACGCCAAAGTTACTCATGGAGTTCCTCAAGGATCTGTCCTTGGACCAATCCTCTTCACTTTATATATGCTTCCTTTAGGCAATATTATCAGGAAACATTCCATAAGCTTTCATTGTTATGCAGATGATACTCAGTTATATCTATCGATCAAGCCAGATGAAACTCATCAGTTAGCTAAACTTCAAATGTGCCTTCAGGATGTTAAAACCTGGATGAGCTGTAATTTTCTTATGTTAAACTCAGATAAAACTGAAGTTATTGCTCTGGGGCCTAAGCACCTCCGTGACGCATTATCTAAAGATATAGTTTCCCTGGATGGCATCGCCTTGGCCTCCAGCACCACTGTGAGGAATCTTGGAGTTATCTTTGATCAGGACATGTCGTTTAAGTCCCACATTAAGCAAATTTCAAGGACCGCCTTTTTTCACCTACGTAATATTGCGAAAATCAGGAACATCCTGTCTAAAAATGATGCAGAAAAACTAGTCCATGCATTTGTTACTTCTAGGCTGGATTACTGCAATTCCTTATTATCAGGCTGCTCGAAAAAGTCCATTAAGACTCTTCAGCTGATCCAGAATGCTGCAGCACGTGTTCTGACAGGAACCAGGAAAAGAGATCACATTTCTCCTGTTTTAGCTTCTTTGCATTGGCTTCCAGTAAAATCCAGAATAGAATTTAAAATCATTCTTCTTACCTACAAAGCTCTTAATGGTCAGGCACCATCTTATCTTAAAGAGCTCATAGTACCTTACTACCCCACCAGAGCACTGCGCTCCCAGAATGCAGGGTTACTTGTGGTTCCTAGAGTCTCCAAAAGTAGACTAGGAGCCAGAGCGTTCAGCTATCAAGCTCCTCTCCTGTGGAACCAGGTTCCAGTTTGGGTTCAGGAGGCAGACACCATCTCCACATTTAAGAGTAGGCTTAAGACTTTCCTCTTTGATAAAGCTTATAGTTAGGGCTGGCTCAGGTAGTCCTGAACCATCCCTTAGTTATGCTGCTATAGGCCTAGACTGCCGGGGATTTCCCATGATGCACTGAGCTCCTCTCTCCTCTACTTTCTCTCCCTCTGTATGCAACCTTATCCCATTATTGCATGTTACTAACACAACTTCTCCCCTTTCTGGTAGTCTTGTGCTTTCTCGTCCCTCTCCTCTCTCCTCCTATCACTTCCTGCAGGTTTTCTGGCTCTGGAGCTGTGGAGTCTGGATCTGTGGCTGCGGGTCGCCTGCTGCCCCCGTGTTCCTGCTCGACACCCTCTACTGCAACGACTATTGTTGCTAGTCTTATTGTTATTATTGTTATTATAATCATTAACATTACGATGGTTACCATTAACACTATTATAAATATCTGTACCATTTTTCATTTAGTTTATAGCAACATTCGCTGTCTGTACCTCTGTGTGTATATTGTGTAGGCTGCCTCCCTCCCCTCTCTCTCTCCTTACATCCCTCTCTCTCTCTCTCTCTCTCTCTCTCTTCTCTCTCTCTCTCTCTTTCACTCTCTTTCTCTCTCTCTTTCTCTCTCTCTCTCTCTCACCCCAACCGGTCGAGGCAGATGGCCGCCCACCCTGAGCCATGGTTCTGCTCGAGGTTTCTGCCTCTTAAAAGGAAGTTTTTCCTTGCCTCTGTCGCCTAGTGCTTGCTCTTGGTGGGAACTGTTGGGCTTCTGTAAATATCATCACAGAGTACGGTCTAGACCTGCTCTTTTATGAAAAGCGCTGTGAGATAACTGTTGTTGTGATTTAGCGCTATATAAATAAAATTGAATTGAATTGAATTGAACATACAGCTGCTGCGACAGGCTGCAGATGTTTCATTTTGGGTTTTTATTGTACTCCATGTTTTAACACACAAACAAGACATTTTGTGTTGTTTTCTTGCAGCCATCTTATACATATATATATTTAAGACACTCCTCATTCAAGTGCCAGAGTATGGTGTTTGCCACCATCTCATGAGGGGGGACACAATAAATGTCTCCTCGCTGTATTGGTTGAATCTAGTCTGTGGTGTTATTTGTTGGATTTTTCACGTATGGTAACTGAATCAAGTCTGCAAAGTCAGCACTGTGCATTTATTTCCTGTCAGAAGGCACAGTGAAGACATTTTACACATGATGGCACATGGTTCTGGTGGTTCTGCTGGAACTGTTACTTCATTTATCCTTTACAGAGAAATCCTTGCTGCATGAAACACCAAACCTGACCTTCATACTTCAACAGCTTAAATCAGACTTACCGTTGTGCCAAGTCTTTTCGTTTGCCATCTCCATGCGTCCAATCACGTACCAGATACAGGCCATCCAGTGTGCCAGCAGAGTAGAGACTGACATTAGTAAGGTCAGCGCCGAGGCGTTGTACAATTTCTGAAACAGGCGAAGGAAATGCAGCAGGCGTATAGTCTTGAGCAGGTGGACGAAGGAGCTCTGAAGAGGAGAGGCAAGCATGGGGGGCATAGTGAGAAAAGGAGAAAGAAAGCAAATCCCTCTGCCCTGTTTTGAAACACACTTTGACTGTATATACTTCACAGCAGCCACTTGTTTTGTTCAAACAAATCACAATTTTGGGAGTACTTGTCACACAGACAGGCAGCAGCAGCTCTGTGTAATACAAGGTACGTACTCTCACCCGCTATACATTTCTGGAGTCTGGAAGTTGCTATGTATTATAAGGCATCAGCTGTTGCAGAGGGCAGTGACAACATATTATCATCTAGTTGTACTCACCACTGGGATGTGCGCAGCATACAGCAGGTCAATGGGCAGGGCTGCAACCAGGTCCACAAAGAACCAGGTGGTGACGTAGTGAATGCAAATGGAGCGCGGGTCATACACCACCTTCCCTGACTTGTCCACATAGGTGGTGCTGAAGTTCAACACAATGTCTGGAAATACAGAGGTTAAAGGTAAGTTTCCCCCCCGGGATTAAAAGACAAATACAATGAAACAGATTGTAAACAGTGAGGATAAATGACAAGTGTCCCAAGCTCAGATTCAATCCTACTGGGTCACTTGTATGTGATGATGTTTGTCACACTGAAAATATAAAAGAATAACATGGAATAGCAACAGGGTAGTGTACCAGCTTTAGTCATGTTAATGTCAGCTTAAAATAATTACAACATAAATGACAAGAAATGACTTGATGCCTGGGTTGCTATGATTGTCCTGTTACTATAGCTGGCAAGGAATGGCAAGAAAATCAATAGATATAGGATGAAAATCTCATGTCACCACATACAAACCTTTTTGAAATCACCACAATATTATTATAATTCAGATCAGTAATTAGTTGTGCCACAGCACAAGAACTTTAGGTAAAATCAGGAGGCCATGTCTTTCACAGTAACACCTTTCAACACTCACCTGCAATAAAGAGCAATTCCACTACAACGTCTGCGATGACAGTCAAGGGTGCATCTATAGCGGTGTGATCGGCGGCCGTGAAACTGACGTTGTAGGGCACGGTGACAGCCAGGTAGAAAGTGCCAAAAATAATTAGCCAGTCCTACAGGGCTTTCGGCACACTGTAGTGGAGCAGAATGAAGCGCGACTTCGGCGCTGCTGCCACCTCCAGTCTCAGAGGCTTTTCAATAAAGCTCTGTAAGTGAACAGGTAGAGTAAGTGTAAGTGCAACAATATCTTGGAAAAAAACACAAAGACATATCTTTTTTATACACACACACACACACACACACACACACACACACACAAACATTCTCTTTCATATCAAGCTTACACTAATGAATCTACATAAACACACAAAGCACATTAGAGAAGCTGCATGAATGAATAACCTGATAACCAGATAGGGTGCTGTGAAAATAAATCATGGCAGTGCCAAGATTTTGCAGAGAGACAAAATCTCTTGTGTTCTGACTGCAGATGATTCAGTAGAGTGGGCAACTGACAGCTTCCTATAAAGAGAGGCAGATATTTTAAATGCCCATGGATTAACAATGCAAAATGACAGAGATAGGACTGTGGTCAGTGAGGGGAAACTTATTACCAACAATGACGCCTGATAATTTCATACATGACTTGGCCTTGGCTTGACTTCATCCCTACAAATGCCACTGGTGCTTTAAGTCTCAGGTGGTGCGCTACAATGATAGCTGAGTCATTATAAGGGGAGCTAGGACCATCAGCTGCTTTTATTCTTTAAAAACCTGCTTATTCATTCCACTCATTACATTTTTATTGAGAAAATCCAATTGCAGAATTGAATTGCTATATTACTGATGAGGTGGGGTCCATTTGGCACATATTGAGACTGTAGCTCTCCAACTGGGGCAGAGCACTTGGCACATAATAGCCTTAAGCATGTTTAGGAGACAGGAGGAGAAGCTATTACATTTGAAAAGTTGTGAGAGGGAAACATTAATGAGCACTAATCCATCCAAAAACAATGTAGCTACTTCATAAACAGGTGTTGGCATGCAACAAGGTGGCTGGTTAATGAAGTCTTAACCTAAGAAGGGCTCTGAAGATGCCTGGTTGACTTGGAGGGAATAGACTGAATATGTGATGACAATGGACAACCTTTTCTTGTACTTCAAAAAGAAGAGAAATGACACAACAGTGACACATCTTACTGAAATTATTATAATAGAAATTATAAAGTAAAACTGTCAGGATATGATATGATATTATATATATTATGTTTCAGAGAAAAAGGGTTTAAATTGTCCCAGTGAAACAACTTTCCACACTATATTGATCATGGCTGCTTGAAACTGGACAATTTCTGGTCCCCTGATCAGTGTTTCATCACCCATCTGTCAGTGGGTTTTCATTGCTTTCATGAAGTTTGTAACCACAGTGGAAAATCCAGAAGAAAGACCTTGCTGACTGCCATCAACAGCTTCGGCCACTTTAACGATAGTTCAAGCTACGTCAGCCAAAGCTTTTTACTTAATTTGCCACATCACAAACAACGCAGAGGTCAGGACTCGCAGCTCATCCAAGTGATTAGAAAACACAGCTACAACTGCTCTTCACAATTCACTCACTTACTGCTTCCAACCACATCTCCCAGCATGCAGCAATGATAAAAGCTTCTTTGAATGTGAGTTTAACTTAGCGTTGTTGTTGAGCTAGGTTCATGTTTACAACCTAGAGAGAAATGGCCTGAAGTGCAGGTGCTGTTCCTCCTCCTGAGGACCCCAGCGCCACGGCCATGGCTGACGAGGTAATATTGGTAGACGCATCTCCACAGGTAGCACCTCTGCCTCCTGCTCCAAAAACTGCTTTTGGGCCTGTTCAAAGACAGCTGAGCTTTGGCCCACCTGCAGCTGCAACAGCAGCAAACACACCGGTACGTCGCCCCACACGACACATTAACACCACCAGGAAGATGAAAGAATGGTGCCTGTCAGCTAGAAGCAAGTGGCTCGTCATTGGGGACTCGAATGTTGCCAGGTTTCCCCCTTTCCAGTGCCATGACATGCAAATAGACAGCTTCCCTGGAGCCACGTTCAGGCATGCAGAAGCCATTTTGGCTAGAACCAATGTATCAATGTACAACATTGACAAACTGGTTCTCTCCTTTGGGGTCAACAACAGGGCACAAAAACCAATGACCACTGTTAAACAAGTTCAGAGAGCAATCAGGATGGTGAAGCTGGCTTTTCCCCAGGCCACAGTCATGGTGCCGGAGATTAATTTCTCCAGACACCTACCTCACACAGAGCGGAGGAGAACCTAAGACAGTTGAACTAAACCATAACTAACAATCAGCTGTTTCTCCAAATAATTAGATTTGACTTACAACAGTACCACAGATGACTGAAATTAGCAACCTACTTTGAGCACAAGCCTGACACACAGTCCCAGTGGGTCCCCCCTAAAGGTAAACTACCTCCAGACATTGACACACTCATCCAGACAGACTTACACTACTTCCAAGACCAATTTAGACTCGGCTGGGTTAAGCAAAATTTGAATAAATATGAATTTGAGGCACTACAACAATTAAGACTGAATAAGGACATTGTGATTAAACCAGCGGTAAAGGGAAGCGCAGTAATTATTTTGGACAGGGAACAGTACCTCCACCACTCCACTGACTGACAAGATTATACAATCACTCCAAAAAATTCATCAACCACAAACATCAATTTGACCAGAAACGATTTTGAATTCAATGGACATTTTTTCCTCCAAATTAAGCTGCTATCAAGCTGAAATACTGTAACAGCGCCACTTCTTTTGATTTTTTGGATACCACTACCTTTTAAGGATCCCACATTCACCCAGACTGCTAGACTTGACCTCAAGGTGTTTTTCAAGGAAACTGACACACATGCTCTTCTGCATAAGTCCAGCTTTCACCCAAAGCACACTTTTGCAGGTTTGATCAAGTCTCAGCTGCTGAGGTTTCACAGAATCTGCACTAGACCTGAGAATTTTAGAGGCGACAAAGGTGCTGTTCTCCGCTCTGGCCAGCAGAGGGTACTGCAGGGCCTTTATTTTACGAAGAGCTTTTAAAACCTTTATTCACACAAAACCTCTCACCACAGATTCCTTACTCCCAGTCATCACCACCTATTCTCCCTCAGCAGTACAATTAGTTAAGACACTCAAACACAACTTTCAAAATTTTATTTCCACAACTCAGCTGTTACAGGACCACAGACTCATAGCTGCATTTAGGAAGAATAAAAACCTGCAGGATACTCTGGTTAAGGCCAAGCTGGCAACACCTGTGAACTCTAGACCCACCGGGCACGGATAATTTTTTAAGCACCAACCTTGGGTGTGCAATCCAAACAACCACAATGTTTTTGTTACACATAGGCATGGCAGTGTTCATTCTAAAAATTGTGTATATTTGATCAGATGCAGACGGTGTGGGAGAAACAGGGAACACTTTGTTGGTTAGATTCACACAACACAGATACAAAATACAGAGGAAAAAAGACACACATATCCCCTTGGTTAAGCACTTTATTGAGCATGGCTGGCCCCAGCTCGCTGCACTGATCCCCCAATGTAATCCCAGGTGGTCCACAGCCCAGAGACGACGGGAGGAGAGGCTCTGGATACACCGACTGGGCACTTTGATTCCAGGGGGCCTCAATGAGAGGTGAGTGCTCGGGACTGGCCGACAGCTGATGGCCTGTGCATTCAATGTCGCTGCCTTCGGCGTCGACATTTCAAAAATGTCTTCCCTAACCAGCCCGCGACTCGTTGTCTGCTGTCCTGATGCCCTCCTCTCGGTGGGGCTCCCTCACTTCATGCACTTGTCTCACAGAAGACTTGTAAATATGTATATATGTATGTGTATATGTGTGTGCAATACTCACCACCTCAGGGCACATCATTTACTGTCATTTCATGGTGTCCTCTTGCTGATTTATGTATGGTTTATTTGGCTCCAACACATCAGCTACTGCTACCTCAGCCTTTCTTTGCCTGCCCAAGTTTATACAGGAAACACTGTTTTGGGTTCAAGGTGAATTTCTTAACATTCGTGCTCCTTTGGTTCTCTGGGCCCTCATGCTGAAGGTTTTTGCAGCCTCTTTAATTTCATGGTGTTTACAAAAATATGTATACGTTGACCCACCTTGTGGTTACGGCACTGTGCCTTATATCAGTGTCCTTTTTAGTTTCTGTTAGATTTATTCTCAGAGATCTATGTGATAGTTTGTGTGAGTGTCTGGCAGAGTTTGACAGTGTGGGACATGGTTAACAATTTCATACAGCCTGACCAGGTGAATTTGGCTCTAACCTCAACCATTTGACCCTCTGACCTAAACCCAACCAACCGGGAAATTATAATTCTTGCAATTGATACACACTGGATGTTTATTTCAATTTTATTAAAAGAAAACTACACTACGTCATTGGGAACCCCCCCACCACCACCACCTCACAGGAAGTGGGAGGTCTCACCGTGACCGGCACACTCACACATCTGCAGTCACAGAAAGATTCACCTCACCACACAGTTGTGACAGCCGAGCTACACATCCCACCTAGGGACGATCTCCTACTGCCGGACCCTGCAACACTCCCCGAGCCGCGGCGCTCCACCAAGGCCACCGTGAGGGATCAGGTAACGGGCTGGTCCCCAGAACCACAGCCAGAGACACAGAGGGAAAACTTTCCCATGTTCTCTTCCTCTCCGTCCTCCGCTCTTGGACATCCTCCTCTCTCTCCTGACTTCCTCTCCACTCCAGTCCCTGATCAGACTGCTGCTCCTCTCTCTCCTTCGCTCTCCCCATCCTCTCAGGTCATACCTGAGCCTCCAGCTCCTCTGCCAACGGGGGTGACGGCGACTTCTGGGAAACCCATCACCGTGGACAACACGGTAATACTGTCTGACTCATCTCCCCAGGTAACTAAGCTCTTCCCCCCCTCCCCCCTGTTCCAAAGACTGGACAAGGTCCAGTCCAGAGACAACTGACCTTTGGCCCACACGCCTCCCCACTAGACACATCAACACTCAGAGGAAAATGAAGGAGAGGTGCCTGACAGCCAGAAGGAAATGGCTCATTATTGGTGACTCAAATGTGGCCAGATTTCCACCTTTTCAGTACCCAGACTTACAGGTGGACAGCTTTCCTGGAGCCACCTTCAGGCATGCAGAAGCCATCCTGGCCAGAACCACCATCTGCACCACAGTCCAAAAACTAATCCTCTCTTTTGGTATCAATAACAGGGCCCAAAACATACAAACACCACCATCAAGCAGCTACAGCCCGGTTTGCTCTACTCAGCAGGGGACTGAACTTCATTCCAACAACCAGCGGCAACCCAAATTTCCAAAACCAAATTCGATTTGACATACAGCAGTATCACAGACGACTTAAACTAGCGACCTACTTTGAACACACACCTGACACACAACCACCACTTTTCACTCCCAAGTCCCAGTGGGTCCCCCCTAAGGGTAAGTTACCTCCAGACATTGACAGACTTACAATACCTCCAAAACCAATTGAGATTCGGCTGGGTTAAACAAAATTTGAACAAATATGAATTTGAAGCACTAGACCAATTAAGACAGAACAAGGACATCATCAAACCAGCCGACAAAGGAAGCGCAGTGGTGATGATGGACAGGGAACAGTACCTATGGGAGGGCTACAGACAGCTACACGACACGACCTACTACTCCAAGCTAAAAAAGCCCATTTACAAGGACACTATTCCACTCATTGACAAGATCATACAATCACTCTACAACAAAAAACTCATCAACCACAAACAGACTCTATACTTGAAGGGTGACAGCAAACCTCGAACCAGACTGGTCTACATGCTACCCAAAATTCATAAGGACCCTGCTGGGTGGAGCAAACTTCATGAGATCCCTCTAGGACGTCCTATTGTGTCTGACTGTAGCAGCGAGACCTACTATACAGCTGAGTTCATTGACCATTTTCTCAATCCCCTCTCGATCAGGCATGCCAGTTATATCAAGGACACCTATGATTTTGTGGAAGGAATTAAGCAGATTAACATCCCCCTAAATGCATTCCTCTTCACCATGGACATTGATATTCTCTACACAAACATTGTAATCTCAGAAGGCATTCAAGCAGTCAAAAACATATTCCAAAAATACCCAAACGCCAGAACACCTGACAGAGAACGTCTCGGGTTACGTATGTAACCCTTGTTCCCCGAGAAGGGTCGGTGACGACACTATGTGAACGCCTCTGGGCGTGGCAGGGCTGAAATCATGAATGAAACTACTCCAATCCTATTGGCGTTGCTAGAACAGTAGCGTGTGACGGCGTAACTGGAGGCGTATATAAGCACGCCGGACACATTAGCTCTTTGCTATGAAGCATGGCACTCCAGGCGGGGTGAGGTGTGGCGGACCGACGCAGTGTCTTGTTCCCCTTCTCGGGGAACAAGGGATACATACATAACCCGAGACGTTCCCCTTCGAGGGAACTCGAACTGCGTCGGTGACGACACTGTGGGAACGAGAATACCCACTATGCCACGCCAAAGCCTCTGCCTGCCCCCCAGCATGCCGTGCCTTCCTTCCTAAACACTCGTCTCTCATTGAAAATTAATTTCTGTGTGGAAAGGCCTTAATTCTGCACACTGTATTTGCTGTTTACAGGAACCCAGGCACCCCTCTGTCGTGGAAACACACAACTCCTTCCACCTCATTCCAGCAACCCGCTCCCGTCACAATCTCCAGCTTCAGCAGCCCTGTTCGCCGTATCTCACAGGGGAACCTCCTGGGTATTGAGTTGCAGCAATTCAGCACCCTGCGAGGCTGCCGTTTACCAAACCTCAGCCATGGCCTCCACAGGCAGAGCTCATCTCCTACAGCCACCCGAGCCTCAGCTGAGGGAGAGTCAGGGGCTCAGCAAAAGCCTTCAGGTCTCAGGTAATGTCTCAGGTATTGTGAAAGCTGTCATCAAATTCAATCAGACGTCAGAAGTTCAAACATCAAGTTTTCCAGCATCCCAAGATCGTTAAAAGTATGTGTCAAAGTTTTAATGTTAAATAAATGTAACTTTACCCCACACTGTCTGTTGTCTGGAGTGTTTCCCACAGACAGACTTTACTTGGGCGGGTCGCCCAGGTATATGAACGGCTGTCCAGCTAACATAACATTATATTTCACAACACATTTTAGCATTTTTCCGAACGACACAGAGCGAGGTGTTATCTATTATGTTGCAAGATGCAAGATTTTACAAGCATGGACCAGGAAGAGAGAGACAGAAACGGCCAGGGCATACCGGTGTGTTTGCAGTAAGAGTGTGGGGAGAAGATAAGTGTAGGGAAAATGGATTCAATAAGGTGGAGAATTGAGTAGAACTGAAATTGGTGGAATAAGCTGCTACAAATAGAAAATATAGCCCGCTAACACCGACCACGACCCGCCGCCCAAGTTGTCTGTCATTCTGTGGGAAAGATTGCAAGAAGTAGTTGTCATCCTGGACCTATTTTTTCATTCTCTAGAACCAACAAAGTAGTTTTGTTACTCTGATCAAACTGCCATTAAGAACATTAACTGAAAAAACAATCACTTGCCTCATTGAAACAATGTACTGCAGTCTTTATCTAGCTAGGTATTTTTTTTCAAGGGAAATAAGGTGTGATTGCTTTAATATGCATCTTAAAGGGGCGTTTCAGTAGGTTTTAAGACTGCTACCAGGCGTGTGCTCGTATGCGTGCTCGCTTGAAGTCATGAGCAAGCATAATCCAAAACACAACCACTTTCATACAGAAATACCACAATAAACGCAGAACCACCGGCATGCAGGCTGTGGCTTTTCTCCAGACATGTTCAGGCTCTGTTACTTCAACGTTCCCGTCTCAGAGGCAGATCAACACCGGCGCCGTACCTTTCATTCAGCGCAGTGAGACGCGTATCGGTACAATCCTCACGGAAAAATAGCAGAATGACAGCGGCTATAGACAGGCAGGGAGAACAGACAGAGCTGGAAATTCAGATAAACTCCCACTGCCACGTTACAATAACAGTTTTATCAGTTTAAGTTTGAGCTAATCCATGTTCGTTACATGATCACGGCAACGTAACGTTACATTTACTGCATTTA